GAATTTTGGGTTATTGTGGAACGGGAGCAGCTCAATTGGTGTTTATTGAAAGCTATTGAGTGAAGGGTATGTGAAATGGAGCTCGTGTAAATAAGACATTATTGAATTGTAAAGCTGAGGAACGTGGAATGAAACAAATGCAAGCAGCTGGGGTTCACATGTTGAATGAAATATCACTACAATAGATATATTTCTAATGTCAGTCAGACATTAGCTATAATTGGACTAATGTGTAAGGAACATGGAATGAAACATTGTAACATAGCTCTAACTGCTACTATAAATAGTTTTAATTGCTACAACTTTCATTATAATTGATGATCTTACGAACATGAATAGGGAGCATTTAAATTGAAGCTTAAAAAGCAATTAAGATCAGACTGAAACAAGTGATTTTATGACACAAATGTTGCAAACTCTAAGGTGTTAAACCAGTTGTAGAATTTTATATGTAATACAAAAATAATTATATCTAAGAACCTTTCCAATGTGCACATAAAAATTGTTGAAATACGAGCACTTCGATGTCATCTAATAACTTGCAATCATAGCAGAAATATCTTGTGCAGTTATACAACTCTATTTCGCCTGGCTTTTGCGCGCAGCTTGTAACTAATTAGTGTCAAGAAAATTGTTGTAGTTTATCTAAAGAGTAGCAAATCGACGATAAAAAGTGGTAGTCACTATTGGGCAGAAGTGAACGACTGGCAGATACCCTAAAAAAATAATAATATAAACAATAAATGTTTGCGCTCAGCTTTTTGGATGAGATGAGCCATGGCAAATGGTATATGGGTAAAAAAGATTACGACAGACGGATGCTAACTGACAAAGGAAGAAGGAATGGTCTGATAAATAGACAAAAAGTCGGACGAGCAAGATGACAGACCACGGATATAAAGCGTAATAGATGGACGCACCTAGGGACGATCTTGATACTGCAGGAACACATATATACATTCCATAATTAGCCACACACTTCGGGCTGCCTGTGACACAAATTTGCATATACTCGCATATATCATACCCAAAATTAGCATTTTCAACAGGGTATAAAAAAGAGCTGCTGCAATGACAAAACCCAAGTGCTACGCAATTGCAAGGGGAGGTGATGGGTGGGGGCCAATGTAGTATTTTTTTTTTCATACGCTCGTTATTATTTGGAGTAAACTAGAATTACGCGTAGTCAGCTCGAAAAAAGTTTTTAATTTTTTATTTTTTTTCTGCTTCAAGTGGTTAGCCAGTTGGTCTGGCCATAATATTTGGCCAGACATTCAAATGGTGGCAGCCGCTGAGATGCCATATTCAAGTTATATGGCTTGAATCAGTTTGATTTTCAGAGCTCTTGCGGCGTGCCCCGCGAGCGATTCCAGCCCAACTGATTCGTATGCAAGACTTGATTTTGGCGACCATAAATGTAATAAATCATTTAACGCGTGCTTGATATTATTATTTATATCTATCTCTGTCTCTCTCTCTCTGTCTCTGTATACATTGATATATATATGTATATACACATATATGTATCTTAACGTATTTTGGCGTGTAAGTCGCATAGTAAAGCAAATATTTGACTCACACCTTCACTTCTCTCACACCTTTTTGCCAGCTGTCGCAGTCGCTGTCCGAGTGCGCCGCCAAGCAAGGCGAATGCGACGAGAGCGAAATGGAGCCCGTTTGTGGCACAGACGATCAGACCTATCCCACACGCTGTCACCTGCTGCGGGTGCAGTGCAGCGGCCATCAGGTCAGCCTCAAGCATCGCGGCAATTGCAAAGGTAAGAGCTCGAGCTTTAGCTGGGAATTCCCTATACATCTATCTCACTCTCGCTATCTCTTTCTCTCTTTCCACATGTAGGCTGCCTGGTGGCACGTCAGTATGCTAGGCGCGAGCGTGAACGCAATCCGAAAATCTTCTTTCCGCGCTGTCGCAGCGACGGCAACTATGCAGCCGTACAGTGCCTGGGCGACACCGGCTGCTGGTGCAGCGACAGCAGCGGTAATCCCATTAAGAACACGTCGACGCGCCGCAGCCGGCCGAAGTGCAGCGCCTTCAGGCGCAGCAATCGTCGCCGATCGCCTCAGCGTCAGCTCAACTCGGAAGCGGATAGCCGTGAAGCTGGCAACGGACATCGGGCGTGCAGCAAAACGGATCGTCAGGCATTCAATAGTCACTTAATCGAATTGCTGCGCAACGAGCACGCCAAATCCGGCCAGCCGTTGCCAGCCGGTGGCTTGAGCGATGCGGCTATACTGGATTGGAAATTTGCCCAAATGGATGGGAATGCCAATCAGTTGCTGGACAGGCAAGAAGTGCGTGAGCTCAAGAAGCTTGTCAAGCGGGTGAGTAGCTATTGCTGTAGCTGTCCATGTCACTCAGTCAACCACAATATAACTCGAAACTCGAAACACTCTATTTTATATGCACACACACACACACACACACATACACATATACAGTCGGTTAAGCCCAGACGTTGTGGACGTGCCTTTGGCAAATACTGTGATGTCAACAGAGACGATAGCCTGTCCCGTCTGGAGTGGAGCAGCTGCCTGACCAAAGATGCCAGCCAACGTAAGTAGCTCTTTAAATATAATATAGAATACTTAACTGCATGGGGAGTATATGAGAATCACAAAGAGAGGCAAAGCATGATATCAACTGTAGACTAAGCATTGCATGCGCTATGTTTATACCAGGGGATATTAAGGTGTATAACTAAATGGGATAGTAACTTGACTTGCTGAGAATCACTGAGAAAGGCAGTAGAGAAAACTAGATCGGAAATGATGTCATAACTGCCTTAGTTTCATCCGTATGCTTTGTGAGAATCACAGAGAAATAAAGTACTTGCAGTTCTGACTCTACATTTAAGTTATCATAGTGTCATTTTCAACAGCAACCTTAACTGCTTTGCGAGAATCATAGAGAAAGGCATTAGTTTTTGCCTCTTAGATAAGCCAACTTTATAAATTAGAACATTTAACAGCATACCTAACCAGTAGCAGTACTTTAACAATATGCGAATCACGGAGAGAGGCAGTGCATGATGTAGTTTTTTCGTCCTGTTGCATGAGTACCGAAATTTGTAATATTTACTTACCTTAACCATAAATGTTTATGTTGTGTGTGTTTCTCTGTTCTCTGTTTTTTGTTTCCATCTACCAAACCAAACGAAATTCCTGCCGCCCCCCTCCACCTACAGGTAAAATGCTGACAAGCAGTCCAACGATCAGCTCCATTATATCGCCCACAATACCACGTCGCACGCACTATAACATACACCATACAAATATCAATCAAGATCATACAAACACGAATATAATCGGAGGCAATTCGCGTATCCATGAGCTGGGCAATGGAAGCGAGGAGCACGACGATGATGACTATGCGGGCGAGGTTGAGGACTCGAGCATGACACAATATTCACATCGCATATCGCCAGTTAATTGTACGTACCTATTGGGGCTACAAGACTAACGAATCTATTTTTGAATAATACATCCAAGTAACATCCAATAGCACTTGGCATGCTTTCAAAGGGCAGTATCGAGTCTATTCTAATGGGCCTTTCGTTCACAGTTCTGATGGACAAAACAGCTGAGACAACGAACAACGAGAGCGAAGTCGATGCCAACTGCTGGACAGATCGAGCAGTGGCACGTGAAGAGCAGCGCGTAAGTCCAATCGGATCCAACTTTCTCATGCCCAACCGTCCAATATCCATGCAGCGATGTTAACCTGATAACATTTTCAGCATGATGGCAACAGATCGTTCTACGTGCCCGAATGCATGCCCGATGGTCGCTATAAGCGGGTTCAGTGCTACAGTTCCATCTGCTGGTGTGTCAACGAGGAGACGGGCAAGAATATTCCCGGCACTTTCGGTCAGACGAGGCCCCAGTGTGATGAGGTCAGCGCCGTGCGACCCATGAAAGGCTGCACCGAGCCCCGAAAAACGCAATTTCTCAAAGAGCTCAAAGCGTTTTTCAACACTCAAATATTACCCAGCAGTAATTCGGGGTAAGTTGATACACATATAAAATGCGTATTTCTTCAATAACTGAGCCAACTATATATCCAGCAACTCGACCTTGTGGAAGTCGGAGGATGAACGCATTGCCACGCTGAGTTTTGTTTTTCTGGACAAAAACAAAAACAAGTCGTGGGAGCGCAAAGAGTGGAAGGTCTTCCGTGATCTGGTCACAAGATCCAGGTGTGTAACTTTTCTACTCTCGAGTAATTTGGTTTCCTTTTAATAAAAACGTCCTTTGCAGCAATTTGAGCAAATGTGGCAAAAAATTGCCACGCTACTGTGATGCCAATGACGATAAGATAATCTCGTTGTCTGAGTGGTTGAACTGTCTGCAATCGCAGCGAGCAGAGAGCACCACCACTGCCAAGCCGACACAGTCAAGTGAGTTTAGATTACCTCATACACAACAATTTCATGAAAATTATCCTTCTGTCCTCTTTTCATTTTTTCCTTTAGACGAGACGGCTACGTCGAGGCTCCTGGGATCAAATCCGTTGGAGCAATATCTTAAAGATTAGTTTTTTATAATGATGAACGTTGCTTGTTTTTGGGCTGCTACTCATTAGATGTCGTGCCATGTTGCGAGGAAGTGCTTGAATATATTCACTCACTCATACACACACACAAACACATATACACTCACACTCACCCGCACAAACACTCACATTCCTAGCATATAGATTCTACGATACACATATGTATGTAATTAGTGTTGTAAATATTAATGAATATAAATGTTTAAGTTAATTGTAATGAAACATTGATCACAAAATGATCAGACTTAAAATATTTGAATATTTTTTCATTGGCGCGCATACTACTGCAGCCAACTTCACGGCGCGCCAAGCAAACATGCTTTTGCAATCCCACCACGATCAAGTTTGCGTCGCTTAAGGTTGGCTGCGCACGCATTTTTCTGCTCCGCTGCAGCCCGCCAATAAGTTTATCGATAAGCATTTCAGGTTTAGTTAAAACTGTAAAATCGCGTGTTTCACTTTATTTGGTTAGCCATATAACACTAAATAATTATATATTTCTATATGTAGACTTGAATATCTGTAAACCTGGGTACGTTTCGTGAATTATATACATACTTAAGAATATACTAAATGCATCAATTGTTCACAGAACAGAGCAAAGAGTTGTTTACAAAATTAGGTAGTTTTTGGTTTTCTTAATAACAAACTTGACAAATTGCTGTATGGCAACTCGAATGCCATTGAAAAAACAATGGACGCCAGGTAGACAATCAAAGTAAATCCGCAACAAATAATGCACTGAAATAAACAAATGCTTATTATAACAAAATATTGGTTCATAAACGTACATACCAGCATAATGGGGTCTGCATGCGTGCTGGAACTACTGAGACCATAGATCAAGGATATTATCAAAGGATTGAGCAAGTAGAAGGCATAGGATACACGATTCAAATGCTGAAAGCAACGTGCTTCCAACAGACGAGACCACCAAACGCCCCGACCCGTTGCACTGCCCACAATCATCCAGCAAACACTCAACGAGAAGCAAATCCGACCCAAGGCGAACAAAGCAATGGTTATCATGTAACCCAAGTCCCTTTTGACTGTCGAATGGATGCAGATCAGAAAGACAAGCAGGCAGATGTGCCATAGCCAACGTTGTTGTCCCTCACTCAATTGATAGCTCACACGGCGCTCAGCCAGGCAGAATGCTACTATGGAGCCCACAATATAGGGCAGCACGCGCACAATGGGATTTATATAGATCTGTGAGCTGGTGCCATAGACTATGTCAATGGAGAACTCAAAATTGCTCTTGATGCCAATACCAAAGGACCACACAATATTTACCGCGAGGCCAGCGAGAGTCAGCAATTTCGCAGACTTGGGATGCCTGCGAAGCAAACGACTTTAATAGAGTGCATAAAATTGAGATTGTATTCAACTCACTTGACATATAGAAACAATATGGCATTTGCAATTAAAAAGAATTGCATATCACAAGCCAAGCTCCAGCTCCAGTTCAGGCATAGATCATTGAAATCATAGAAATTCTGTATGAAGAGCAAATTGCGCCACCAATGCTGACTGCAGATCTCATCGAAACGTTCATTGATGTGATAGACTGAAGTGTCGCCAATGTAGGCAAAAACCAAATCCACGCTGCCAATGACAATCAGATAGAGCGGTACAAGTCTTAAATAACGATGAAACAGTAACTTGCTAAAGAGCTTCACATTGGCTATGGAACCATTATCACGTATTGCCTGCAATTGCTCTGTATTGCGTAAAAAGTTGTACGTCTGCAAAAAACCACTGTGAATATATAAGAAAAATTTAGCAAAATAAGGCAGATTAATACGGCTTGCTCAAACTCAAAAATCTTATTAGCTCCTTCATGTGCTGATCTAGGAATTAAGACAAGTTTAGACTAGATTATTGAGATATTCTAGACTGACTAGAACCTCCCATTAATTTTTGGTACATTTAATGTCAGGTTCAGATAACTGACTACTCTCCTTTAAAACTTGTTTTAATTATTTCTTAATACTGGAATACATGGTCGTTGAAGGACAGCTGTACAATAAATTCAATATAAAATATTAATTTTTTAAAATTAAAAACAAGTGCAATTTAATGTAAGTTCAGATAACATCTAAACTGATATTGTATTAACAAGTTGAAGGACAGCTGATCAATAAATTCAGTAGGTAATATTTTTTCGGCAAAAAAAGACAACAGAATAATAACCTATATATATATATAGAGTTCAAGTTTAAGTAAGTTCACATAATAAGAAAATGTATAGTGAAAAAACAACTATGCCAAAGATACAGGACTCCAAAAACTGCCTTTCACATATTTAGCATATTCTAAAAACCTGACATGAAACAATATTCCAATTTTAGATGCGAATTCAGCACGTTGGCAACCCCTCCGGAAAATTGTAATTTGAAACTCAAAAGCAATTTTGGACCACCTTTCACTCACCTGATTGTGAAGAAGACATCCACCAGTAAGGGAGCCGATGATATGTACTGAAAGAAGATCTGCTCGCCATAGGCCAAGAGCGTTGCTTTGTTGTGCACTGTGAAGTACATAAACCACATCACATGGAAGATCAATATGCCGACAGCGCACACAGAGCGTAGTCCATTGAGCAGTGGGATCTCCGAGGACCTGTTCTCACGCGTGGCAACGATGCGCCGCCAATTGTTGGCCACATCGTAGCAGCTGACGAAGCTCTGCACGGGACGCCACTTGAGCAGGAAATGCAAAGCTCGCCAGATCTCCGATTCGACGGGTGCGAGGCCAGCGCCATCCGCATGCCCGTCCGCTGGCAGCTGTTTGGCCACGCTCAGCTGCTGGGCACAGAGCATGAAGGCACAAGTGACCAACACGAAGCCCACAACAAGCTTGAAGCTCAGCCGGTCGTAGAATACATCTCTCAGCTTCAGGTCCTTTACGTAGAGCACCTCGGGCTGCATTTCGAATATGTCGCTGTCCTTGAAGCTGCCCGCCATATAGTCGCTGGTCAACTGTTGTATCTCGCTCGACTTGCACGAGCTGGGCAAACAGAGACCGATGTGTATTATTTGCTCGGACATCACCTTCAGCTCCACCTGCCAAGGTGAATTGTGTCGCAAATAGATAACGCGATAATCCATATCGAAGGGCGACTTCTGTGTAATTAAACCGTTATGCATTTGACGCTTGTATTGCTTGGACAGCGTTATGCCCAGAGGACGCTGCATGCTGCTGCAGGCCTCTCGACTGCCCAGCCAATAGTTTTGGCCAAATATAAAACCCGACGGTTTGCCACCCGAAGCATCGAGCACTGTACAGCAAAAAGTAAAAGGTAAGCTCTTATACCGTTATGAGGGTACTCGTTCAGTAATCAATAAGTGATCATCACCTTTTAGAGCCCAAGGCTGTTTGTTGAGGATGCTGCGCTGCACGTGCTTCAATTGTGCATGGCAAATGGGATTCACATTGCTCGCATTGGCCACTTCTGTCAGTCCGTAGATGATGGAGCTCTGTGCGAGCAGTGCTTCGTGTCTGTCTGTCTTGGCTCCATCATCATCATTCTCGACTTCATTTGCATTCGCTGTCACAGTCACTTCCAAGTCCTTGTTGGACCAGATATTGCTGCCATTAAGAATCGCATGATCAAACGTCTGCAACTGCAGCGTCGACTCATTCTGTTTGCCAACACAACTCCCCAGCAGGAGACTGAGCCAGAGGGCTGTTGATGCTATACCATATCCGTATCGTGGCATATCTAACTGTAAGCAAAAGTCAAATGAATTAGTTGCATTGTCAATGCTATATGAATATGGTTGAGTGTTCACTTAACAAGTGTGCAAATACAATTAGTGGCTGGCTGTAGAGCACTGCAGCAATACGTCAATCAATACATACGTAGTCATACCGCATTCACAATACTTCACCCAGCGGAACTCTATTTGAGTAGCTTTCCAGGTTTATCCAAGAGTAATCTGCATTTAACAAATAGCCTGTTCATTAGCTGTTAATGACAATGAGCCATAGATCACAGTGCCGCTACCTCGACCATAAACAAATCAAGTTCAAATATCAATTACTTTTTGGGCATATCGTAAGTGCGGTTCAATGTCACCTCATGGCATAGCTAACAAATACATAATAAAAGTGAAAAAACAATTAAAGTCACAAGTCACCTGAAGGTTTATTGGGGCGTCTGTCAATTACGAACTTGCCAATAATATTACCTCTAAAACCCTCTTTGCAATTTGTTCCATAATAAAACTAATTGCTTTGCTCCACGAAGGTTTTTCATTATATAGTTTAACATGTAAACAAGGCATAGCTGGTGACTAAGAAAACATGTTTTTGCTGAGACTTAAAATTGTCTCTGAGAGATTTAAAGTTGCTTTAAATAAAACTGAAATTCTGCCTAGCAGACATTTAGCTGACTGCTATGATATATTTCCTTGCCGTCATGTCTGCCTAGCTGACAGCAGCTGGCTGTTGTCATTCCTTTCCTTTTCAGCTCAGGCTGACTGACATCTAGCTGACTGCTATAATTGCATTGTCCTACAATTTCGTCTTGCATTATTGCAATGCAAATGATTAATGAGAACTTAAAATGGCCCATATTAATTTGTATGATCTAAGACTCCTTAACGCTATTTATTTATGGTCAAATGAAGTTTATTTACTTTTGTATGATCTCTGTGATCTTCAACTACCCTGCCTGCTTATTATTAGCCGTATGATCGAACTATAAATTTTTGCCAGCTTATTCTATATTTGCTTTTGCATTATCAATTGTGAATTATGTTTAGCGATGGGTAAATACGCGTCTTTTCAGGAAGACTTATAAATATTTACACAGTTGTTCAACGAAATCAAATGCGGCAACTGGTGAGACATTCGTTAAAATGAAGCCCTGCGGCCTCAGCAAACAGTGCGACATGTGCAAAAAAAAAAAAAATCTGAAAACCAAATTCAATTCATAAAAAACATACTACTTATATATAGAGTTGTCTGACATAGTTTTTTTGTTTTGTTTTTTTTTCTGTAAGCCCCTTTCGATAGCTGGTTAGTTAATTGCTCTTCGATGAAACCATTTCAAGGGCAAACCCGCCTTTGGGTTTTGCATCTCTTTTTTGTTATACTTTTGTTGTTGTTGTGCTTCCCACTCGTCTTCTTCTTCTTCTTCAGTTTTGGTTATATACTATGCAAATCAGCCGGTACCTTCACCTTTAGTGGGATCCGTTTCCATAATGCCCATTTTTGGCAATATATAAACAAAAAAAACTGAAGATGTTGCAATCCCATACATTTGCCAGCTAACTCATTTCATTTCGAGTTTGTTGATTGCGTTTGGGTGTTAATATAATGAAAATGTTATACATTCAGTTGGCTGCTCGTGGGTTTGGATGTCTTACTCTATAAATATTATTATTATTATTATGGATTGAAGTCAATGCGCTTTTTTGACCTAAGTCAATACGTAGTCAAAGATGCTTGTCCAAGTGCTGTTGATATTTCAACATGTGTGTTGGAACGGCTATTGCGACAGCTCCATTTTAATGTCGATCATTAAGATATGTAATTTAACGTAGTGCCAGATAATCTGAACTTATTTCAAGTTCATGCAAGAATTAATGTAATTTAAATGAGTTTTCACCATTTATTTTTAACTCTTATTTGTTTTATGGAAGGCATTTAAACGCCTTTTTATGTGGGTCATTAACATATAACACATAGGAGCCTTAGCTGAAGTTACAGTTAACTTATTTAAATTTCGAAATCAGTTCAATTTCACTTCATTTGAATTTATTAGTAATAAATACATACATATTTATAGTCATATTTGGAATTCACTTCACGAATATTTTTTTAAATCTATGTTTTAAGTCAAGCTCAAATTTGGTAATTACATAATTCAACTTTGAAATAAACTTGACTTCACTTTAAAAATTTGCATTAAAATTTAATTGAACATGTAATCTATTTATTTGTTTTATAGGGTCATTTGTTTTCCCTGGAATTCTTATTGCTTTTTGTATTTTTACTCCCAAATTGGCTTTAACTTGTTTTATTTTTTACTTAAATAAGAAAAATAAAAATTGTTCTTCACTTTAATTGTGTAAAATATTTTGCAAACAATTTTCGCAATTTCTACTCCAATTATTTAGTTTAGCCTTTTATTATATCGGCTCGCATTTCTTATATATTTTCTTTAAATTTGTAATTTGAATTATCATAAGATAAAATTCACTTAGCAAAATTTGCAATCATCGAATTCGTATTCAGATTTATTGCTTAATATCTGCAACCAAATTAATTGCAGTTATTTCGTTCACTCTTAAATTCAGATCTTTATTGGGATCACCTCAGTGTAGGATTTGCAATTTGACTTACTTTAAGACACAGTTAGTTTATTTAACGCGTCGCAACAAATTAAATCAATTTAAATTGTGCTTCACTTTCGATTTCACTGTATAAATTTCTTTATATTCGCGCTGTTTCGTTAGGCTTTTGCGTTGATTTCGTTGTATCGAGGCATTCGTAAAACCAAAAAACTATAACAAATTATAACATCACATGCAGAGGGTAACAAAAACATTAATCTAAATTCGCTTGATTTTCTGCTTGACTTTGCGCACGTCTGAGTTTTACCGCGAAACTGCTGCGCCCAGCGTCTTTTCTTTAACATTTATAAACTCGGCAAACTCGAAACGCAGCACGTGAACAGGTAGCGGCGACCGCAACAGCAGCAGCAGAAGCAGCAGCAGCCACAGCATCAGCAGCCGCAGCAGCAGCAGCAGCAGCTGTAAAAAGATTCACCGACAACAACAATAACAATAACAAGAAGAGAGCGTAAGACTTCATCAATGCGAACCCATCAAAACAAAACATTTTCAGTCGCTTGGTGACTTTTTTATTTTTTTTCGTAACTCCCTTAAACTATTTGTTGTAATTGCTGTACGTGTGTCTGTCTCTCCAATCTCTCTGTCCTCCTGTCCTGCATTTACCGGCGCGCATGTCATTTAGCTTGCTATGTACAAGGTGACCTGGTCGTTCTTGTTTACCATTGCCAGAGAATTCTCATCCTGTTCGTTCACTTGATAATGACTTGATAATGAACATTTCGTACTTGCTATACCTTAATTAATCGTATATTATAGAATTCATTTTCAGTTTCAGACAAACTGTATCAATTATGATAAACAAACGGCTTAGCTTTTAAAATTAGCATTCTTAATTTTATTATATAAAGAAGGAGAAAGGGGGATGTTGTTAATGAGCTGCTAAGAGAGAGAGAGAGAGAGAGAGAAAGAGAGACGTAGTGATATAAGTAGGGACATTGATCGATATGGAGTATGATAAGATTTTAATTGAAAATTATTCTCCAGAGGGAGTTTGAGAGCATTGGTGCGAAAGACAAAATACTTACTTAATTCAAATAAAGTAAAACTACTGTTTGAACAAAAGCCTATTGAGCGCGCAACCTTAGCAAACAGCTGGCAACGCTCTCCAACCTGCTTCTCAAATCAGTACGGTCACACTCAAATCAAGTGTCAACACTGCAGCCAGGGTTGCGCTGGAACTTGGAAACAATGTCAATCGTTATCGGCAGTCAGAGCAGGTTGAGAAACCATTATAAAATAGCAAAAATTAAAGTGAGATGACGCGAAAAATAAAATCGTCATAAAAATAATTTTAGAAAATAACAATAATAATAATATGTAACGACGCGCAAACGACAATGATAAAACGGTGCAATTGCTAAACGAAATAGAGTCAAAAACGGGAACAAATACTGCGCAGCATAAAAATCCAGCTTCAGGAAAAGAGTCATAAAAATCGATTCTCCAACAAAAAGTCACAGTGCACACAGTCAAGAAACGGCCAAGAGGGAGACTTTCGCGCGGGCGTCGGTGGAGCGCCCAGTGCTTGTGTCTTTTTTCTCTCTTCTTTTTCGCCTGCTTACTTGCCAAAAGTCCAGCGAAGACACTTCGTGTTCGTGTGTGTGTGTGCGTGCTTTATATTTGTCTGAAAAACAAAATCAAATGCAGGATAAACTAATCAACGTAATTAGGAGACAGCAGTAATATAATTTAAGGCAAATATTTAAACGTCTGCCCAAATAATAACGCGTGCAAATACAGTTGAATTCCAGCACACACCAGCCACAACAATAATAAAAATAATAATAGTGTCTACATATATGAGTGTGTGTGCATGTGTGTATTTGTGTAATAAATAGCGCAAGTCAAGAATGAAATGGAAACAGCTCCCCCACTACATGACGTACCTCTGCTACAATAACAACAACAACAAATACAGCTATAGCTCCAGTTACAGTTACTTTTAGGCGTGTGCGTGGCGCTAATTGAAACGCTCACTATTCCAGGCTCTCTAGCGCCTATCCTCCCCCTCGCCTTTGTGACTCACCTGCCAGCCAAACAAAATATATTAGATTGCGTGCCACACACATAATTCTCAGCGGGCTCAATAAAAAGAAGTGAAAAAAAAAAGAAATACAAAATATCAGCGAACTACAATAACAAGAATACCGTCCCAGCCATATCCCTTTATGCGTATATATATACATGTATATGTATTGAGTTTTGGTGGTTGCATGATTCACCCACTGAACCACTCAATCCATAGGCGTCAAAGCGTCTAATTAAAAGTGAGAGTATATATATATTAAGAAGGCCTACAAGATGTCAAGTGATAAGATCAAAGTTGCTGTGCGGGTGCGACCCTTCAATCGGCGCGGTAAGTAATATTGAAAATACAAAAAAAATGTAACGGTAAAGCTAAAGCCAAGTACCCAGCGGTCTGTGTCTATGCAGTAGCTGGCAGGGCTTCCTTTCAGCTTTGTCTCTTTTGTCTGCGCTGCAATCAATAATGCATAAGTCAGCTGAATGTACACACACATACATATATATGTATATGTTTCTCTATGTGTGTGTTGTACACCTCTATAAAGTTTGCTTGTGCTTGTACTTTATTTTTGGGGATAACAAAATTTGCATAGAGTCGCGAGTTTAGCTGTTTTTCTTTGCCCTTGCTAAGGGTATGACGAAGCAGCACAAACAAATCTCTGTGTGTGTGTGCGTAGGTGTGATTACAAGTGTATTATAAGTAGCACAACACATACAAATATGCTATATAGTTTATGGCTCTGTATGGGGTGTATGGAGTATCTAGAGGTATTTGCCTGTATCCTACTACTAATATTTTTCCTTTCAAACCAATCTCTTCCGTTTTCAAGCTATCTTAATGTAATTTTGTGTAGGCTCATTGTATTCTGATGTTGATAGCTTATATATTATACTCTACGGATGACTGTACAGTATAAATATTCTAAAACGTAAACTGGAGCATGCTTGACTAATTGTCGAATCAATTTATGTGATTCGGCTAAACTTAAACATTAAATTATATACTATAGAACTATATTATAGAACTATATATAATATACTCGATATATACATTATATACTGGAACCTTATATTTTCAATACTTGTTCATAGCCAATTTAATCTCTTAGATCTTAGCAAACATCTTGACAAATATATATATGTTTGTCGCCGCTAGCTCTATCAAAATTATATAAATACATAAAAGTAAACTAAAGCACTTAGAGGTCTACTAACTTTTGAAATGTGGGCGATTTATCATCGGGTCTTTGCTATATTTAGTATAAAAAAGTATTTATTCCGGAAGTAAGGCTTTAAGCAGTTTAGTCATATATGTATCAACTAGGGTATTTCGACTTCGTTGGCCCTTCAGTATAGATGGGTTTTTGCGTTCTTGTTTCTCATGCAAATGCTGTTTCCTTTGCAAAGGTCGCCTCGTTTTTCAATGCAACGCCAGCAACTTTTTTTTCTGTTTTTTGCAATGGCTAGCCTTGCAGAGCGTCTAACTGACTGGCTAACTGACTGACTGAGTGAGTGAGTGACTGACTGGCTGTCGTAACAAACGCTTTACATTTCCAGCTAATTTTTCATGAGGTGAAACTGACGACGCGAGTGTTGCAAGTGCTGCAAGCAAAGCAAAGCAAAGCACAGCAAAGGCGAATTGCAAATATATATAAAAGCCAAACATCGCGTTTCCACTTGGCCAATGTCAACGGCGATCATTCATTTGGCTTATCCATGACTCACACGCATGCACACTCATACACACACACACACACGCAGTCAGTAGGCAATGCAACGGAAATGTGGACTCTATGGGGGTAGGGGACTCCACAGTGGCATTCAATTTGCGCCCCTTTGGCAAGTGGAAGTCATTTGCCATTTGCCATTTACTTTTCGCATGTGTTTTTTTTTTTATTTTTATTTTTACTTGTTATTTATTATTTTGTATTCTGTATTTTGTCATGTTTTGTGTATCGCTGGTTCCTTTTGCTCTGCTTCCATCTGCTGCTATTTCCACTCACACACACACAGAGTCACTTCATTATTTGGGGCTGCCTTATGCCGTGTCCCCCTCTATGCGCTTGATTCACTCTCAAGTCATAGGGGAGAGAGAGAGAAAGCGAGAGAGTGAGAGTGCGTGTGCGTGTGCGTGTTTGTGTGAATGTGTGAACGTCCGATTGATAAGCGGAACAAGGTAAATTCATACATAGTTATGCGCGTCACTCTTATCGGCCTGTTGATAAGGACTGATACACACGCATATTTGTACTATTAATATTTACTACAATGTACTATATAGCCATATTTATTACACACGTAATCGCTTAGTTTTTCCCATCAATTTTTTGCTGTAATTAATTTGCTTTTGACATCTTACGCATCGTTCCGCTTTTCGGCCATATTGCTGTTGACGACCTCTTCATAAGTCACAAAGCGTAAAGTAAAAACTTTATAGAAACATACACACACATAATACACAGCAAACACACAGACACACACACAGGCACACATTGAGGTAACGCAAACAGTTGCGCTTGAAATGAAGTCACAGCGCGAAAGCAACCAAAAAGCTTAACCTGTTTTTCCCTGCCTGCTGACCAAATGTCTATCCAAATCTCTCTCTACGTGTGTGTGTGTGTGTGTGTGTGTTTGAGTCTGCGTTGGTGTGTATATGTTAATTTCAACATTGTACAATGGCAAACGCGTCTGCCACAGTTTCAGGTTAAGTTGAAGAAATGTCCAAATCAACTGAACTGAACAGCGAATCAAAACGCTTCAGCCTCAGCTGGCCAACTGACCAAAACACAATTCACAATTGGGGGCAGCCCATCAAATAATTTATGGCAAGCCTCTGTTACGGCCAACACACATACACACACAGAGAGAGAGAGAGAAGCCACAACAACTCGTTGATGGGCCCTGTTGATGTGTGTCCTTTGTGGTTTCTCCAACATTCTCAATATCTCAACTCTGGCCTGGCCTGGCCTGGCCTTTGGCCAATGTCCTGCGTGTCATGTCGGCTTTAGTTTTGCAACGGAAGTGACTGTTGTGTGTGTGTGTATGTGTGTTTTGTATGCACGCAGCTGTTTGCCATATGCATGTAAAGTACAGCAAAGCCTGGCCAAGGGAAATCACTTCTCGTGAAACGTTTACAAATTCAATTTGAGGTCATATGAACATAGTTGAGCACAATTTATAAAACATCTAGAAAACTTGTTACAATATCCACTAGATTTCTTTCAGTGAGCCGCCTGTATGCTCAGTTGGAGCTATGCCCCAGTAGAGTTTATATGCAGCTAAATTTTAATAATTCATAATATAGTTCCACCCAACGACCTGCTTCGGGGGAGTCGGGCGAAATGTGTAGCAGACTT